TAGGCATATGCAATGAATAGTATACATTGTGTGTGTGTATTCACCTGTATATACAATGTATTTGTTGTTCATTCGTTCAGTCGTCTCCGACTCTTCGTGACCTCATGGACCAGCCCACGCCAGAGCTCCCTGTCGGCCGTCACCACTCCCAGCTCCTTCAAGGTCATTCCAGTCACTTCAAGGATGCATCCATCCATCTTGCCCTTGGTCGGCCCCTCTTCCTTTTGCCTTCCACTTTCCCCAGCATAATTGTCTTCTCTAGGCTTTGCTGTCTCCTCATGATGTGGCCAAAGTACTTCAACTTTGTCTCTAGTATCCTTCCCTCCAGTTAGCAGGGGCTTTATTTCCTGGAGGATGGACTGGTTGGATCTTCTCGCAGTCCAAGGCACTCTCAGAACTTTCCTCCAACACCACAGTTCAAAAGCATCTATCTTCCTTCACTCAGCCTTCCTTAAGGTCCAGCTCTCACATCCGTAGGTTACTACAGGGAATACCATGGCTTTGACTGGCGGATCTTTGTTGCCAGTCTGATGTCTCTACTCTTCACTATTTTATCGAGATTGGACATTGCTCTCCTCCCAAGAAGTAAGCGTCTTCTGATTTCCTGGCTACAGTCTGCATCTGCAGTAATCTTTGCGCCTAGAAATACAAAGTCTGTCACGGCCTCCACGTTTTCTCCCTCTATTTCCCAGTTGTCAATCATTCTTGATGCCATAATCTTGGTTTTTTTTATGTTTAGCTGCAACCCAGCTTTTGCGCTTTCTTCTTTCACCTTGATTAGAAGGCTCCTCAGCTCCTCCTCGCTTTCGGCCATCAGAGTGGTGTCATCTGCATATCTGAGGTTGTTAATGTTTCTTCCAGCAATTTTCACCCCAGCTTTGCATTCATCAAGCCCCGCACATCGCATGATGTGTTCTGCATACAAGTTAAAAAGGTTGGGTGAGAGTATGCAGCCTTGCCGTACGCCTTTCCCAATCTTGAACCATTCTGTTGTTCCGTGGTCAGTTCTGACTGTTGCTACTTGGTCCTTGTACAGATTCCTCAGGAGAGAGACAAGGTGGCTTGGGATGCCCATCCCACCAAGAACTTGCCCACAATTTATTATGATCCACACAGTCAAAGGCTTTAGAATAGTCAATGAACAGAAATAGATGTTTTTCTGAAACTCCCTGCCTTTCTCCATTATCCAGCGGATATTGGCAATCTGGTCTCTCGCTCCTCTGCCTTTTCTGAACCCAGGTTGTACATCTGGCAACTCTCTCTCCATGTATTGCTGGAGTCTTCCTTGCAGGATCTTGAGCATTACCTTACTGGCATGAGAAATAAGGGCCACTGTACGGAAGTTTGAGCAGTCTTTCGCATTTCCCTTTTTTGGTATGGGGATATCAGTTGATTTTTTCCAGTCTGATGGCCATTCTTGTGTTTTCCATATTTGCTGGCATATGGCATGCATCACCTTGACAGCATCATCTTTTACAATGTATAGTAGTCATATATATATATAGAGAGAGATACACACACAGAAACATATGCATATACAATGTATACTAGTCATAGAGAGATACACGAGATACATGAGTCCCTTTGGGTAGAGAGGGTGGGTGATAAATAAAGTATTATTATTATTATACATACAAACATATGTATATACAATGTGTACTAGTCATATAGATACACACATATGTGTATACAATGTATATTAGTCATATTGAGAGATACAAACATATGTATATATAATGTATAGTAGCCATATAGATACACCACTTATGTGTATACAATGTATACTATTCATATACACATACAAATATATTTACAAGTATACAATGTATATTAGTCATATAGATACACACATACAAACATATTTATATACAATGTATACTACTCATACACACAGCACTACACAGATAAATATAAGTTTACATTTTTCTTTCTTTCTCTTATCTTCTCTCTTTTTCTGGAATATTTAGTACACTTTGGATTCCTGGATCCACTTTGGATCACATACATATACACATACTAACTCTCGTAATTTTGAATATGTTTAAATAGTTTTCTTCTTTCTCTTCCTTCCTCTCTTTTATCCCCATTTTTCCTATTTTCTCTCTTTCTTTCTGGAATATTTACTGTGCTTTGCATTACTGTACTATACATATACATATGTATATATGGTATACTTATACAAGTAGTACTATATTGTATACACTTGGATATTTGTCTTCTCTCAAATTCTCCCTTTTAGCTTTTCCTGTTTTTTTTCTTTCTTTCTGGAAAATTTACTATTCATGTGTATTTAACACAGAGACAGAGAGAGTATTTGAGTGAATTTACTATACATTACAATACATATATAGTAAAGTATGAATATGGATGAATGTACTATACATATATAGTAAATGTATAAGAATATATATAGTATATGGATAAATTTGCTATACATTACAATACATATATGTATATAGTATATTAATGAATGTACTATACAAATGTATATGAATATATTGTATATAAATGAATGTACTAGACATTATACATATATAGTAAATGTATATGAATATGTATAGTATATGAATGTACTATATATATATAATATCTATATATATATATACTATATAATATCTAGTATATATATCTATATATGGATGAATGTACTATATATTACTATACTTATCTAGTTAAGGTATATTAATATATATAGTATATGAATATATATAGTAAATATATGTGAATATATGAATAAATGTACTATGTATTACTATACACATATAGTAAGCATGTATGAATATCTAGTATATGAATGAATGTATTATGCATTACTATACACATAGTAAATATATAAGAATATATATATAGTATATGAATGCTATACATCTCTCTCTCTATATATATATATATAATTATATGACTATATATAGTACACTAATGAATGTATTATACTAATGCATATGAATATACATAGTATATAAATGAATGTACTAGAAATTATACACATATGGTTAATTATGAATATCTATAGTGTATGAATGAATGAATGTGCTATACATATATGGATATATATATAAATATGGATGAATTTACTATACATATCTAGTAAATATATATGAATATACAGTATATAAATATATATAGTAAATGTATATGCATATAGTACATGAATGAATGTGTTATACTACATGAATGTGCTATACATTACTATACATATATAGTAAATATATATGGATATATAGAACATGAATGAATGTGCTGTACATTACTATACATATATAGTAAATTATATGGATATTTTTATATACTACATGAATGTGCTATACATTACTATACATATATAGTAAATATATATGGATATATAGTACATGAATGAATGTGCTATACAAATATAGTAAATGTATATGGCTATATAGTACATGAATGTGCTATACATATATAATAAATGTATGTATATGGATATAGTATATGAATATATATGGCATATGAATGTGCTATACATTGCTACACACATATAGTAAATGTATAGTACTATATATGTAAATGTATAGTAAATGTATATGAATATAGTATATGGATGTGCTATACATTATGGTATATGCATGTGCTATACATTACTATACCTATAGAGTAAATGTATACGAATATAGTACATGAATAAATGTACTATACATTACTATACATATATAGTAAATATATATGAATATAGTATATGAGTGGATGTGCTATACATTTACTATATACATATATAGTAAATGTATATGAATATAGTACATGAATGAATGTACTATACATTACTATACATATATAGTAAATATATATGAATATAGTATATGAGTGGATGTGCTATACATTTACTATATACCTAGAGTAAATGTATACGAATATAGTATATGAATAAATGTACTATACATTACTATACATATATAGTAAATATATATGAATATAGTATATGAGTGGATGTGCTATACATTTACTATATACATATATAGTAAATGTATATGAATATAGTACATGAATGAATGTACTATACATTACTATACATATATAGTAAATATATATGAATATAGTATATGAGTGGATGTGCTATACATTTACTATACATATATAGTAAATGTATACGAATATAGTACATGAATGAATGTACTATACATTACTATACATATATAGTAAATGGATATGAATATGGTATATGAATGTGCTATACATTACTATACCTATAGAGTAAATGTATACGAATATAGTATATGAATAAATGTACTATACATTACTATACATATATAGTAAATGGATATGAATATGGTATATGAATGTGCTATACATTACTATACCTATAGAGTAAATGTATACGAATATAGTATATGAATAAATGTACTATACATTACTATACATATATAGTAAATGTATATGAATATAGTATATGAATGGATGTGGTGTACATTTACTATACATATATAGTTAATGTATATGAATATGTGTGTGTTACATTTTTGCCTATTTTTCTTCTTTCTCTTCCTTCCTCCCTCATTTTCTCTCTTTTCTCTCCTTTCTTTCTTTCTTAAGTATGTTTTGCATTCTTATACTAAACAAATCAATGAAAATTAAAGGATAATAGACCCCCAAACCGCCATGATAAGAAAGGCAGGAGCGTGGCAGTCCTTCACCCCCTTCGCCCCATTCATTTCCGAAGCCTCCCCCCCTTCTTTTTCTTTCTTTCTTCCTTCCTTTCTTTCCCTCCATGAGTCACCCTTTCAGCTGCTCAGGCGAAGAATCCAACTTTCCCAACATAGTCTCAACATGTTCGCGGGCGAGACCAAGAGGGGGGACGGAAATGGGGGGAGCCCGCCTGTGGCGAAGGAAGCCAAATGGGCTGTTTAGAAAACCTCCCCATTTCGCATTTGTTCCTAGATGGGTAAATAATCACGGCACTAAGATATGGAGGAGTGAAAAAGGAAAGAAAATCCATTCTGAAAGGGTATTTGGGGGTAAACGGGACCTCCCCGGCTCCCCCTCTTTGGACAATGGTACCGTCCGGATTGAGAGGCCAGACTGGGCAGAGGCTCTACAATAGTTGGGACTGGCTGCTCTTTGCAACATCAGCTGCTGCAATTGGACTCCAAAAGCCAAAAAGGAGGGGCAGATATAGAAATATATACTAAATCCTCCTTTGCTTCCATCTTCCCGGGTTGGGAAGTCTTTTTGGCCATTCTTTTTGGGATCCCAGCTGCATCCAGGACCAATCTACAAAGGCATTTTTGAGTTTCCATTGGGAGGGAGGCTCAGCTGCCTCCCTCCTTTGATCACCTTCTATAGAGGGATGAACCAAGAGAAAAGACTCTGATTTTTGACATATTTTGATCTTTTTTTTTCTCCTTCCTGTTTTGATTTATTTTTAAATAATATTTAGGTGGATTTTAAAAAAATCCTATTTTTCCCCATCTTCCTTTGCAAAGAAAACAAAACAAACCCCTAAATATAAATATATATATTTCAAAAAAAACATGGAGAAAAGGGAAGAAGAGCCAGTGAAAGCCTTGACGACGAAGCAACAGCCTGAGGATGAGCATCGAGGTAAATATTTACTCTCTTTTACCAAAAAGGGATGGAGAATAAGGAAGGGGATGCTGCAGATTGCTGCCTATTGAAGAAGAGAGGGCATTGCTAGATAGGCAGGCATTCTCTCTAGGAAGGCATTCAGATGTTGTCTATTGCAGTGATTCTCAAGCTTTTCCTTATTACAGTTCCTCATGTTGTGGGGACCCCAACCATAACAATATTTCATTGCCCCGAACACCCACCCACCCCAAAGCTCTAGGCCAGTGGTTCTCAACCTTCCTAATGCCACGATCCCTTAATACAGTTCCTCATGTTGTGGTTAATACAGTTCCTCATGTTGTGGTGACCCCCAACTATAACAATGTTTCATTGATCCGAACACCCACCCCAAAGCTCGAGGCCAGTGGTTCTCAACCTTCCTAATGCCACGATCCCTTAATACAGTTCCTCATGTTGTGGTGACCCCCAACTATAACAATGTTTCATTGATCCGAACACCCACCCCAAAGCTCGAGGCCAGTGGTTCTCAACCTTCCTAATGCCACGATCCCTTAATACAGTTCCTCATGTTGTGGTTAATACAGTTCCTCATGTTGTGGTGACCCCAACCATAACAATATTTCATTGCCCCGAACACCCACCCAACCTAAAGCTCGAGACCAGTGATTCTCCACCTTCTTAAGGTCCGTCTCCTTAATACAGTTCTTCAGGTTGTGGTAACCCCAACCATAACAATATTTCATTGACCCAAACACCCACCCCAAAGCTCAACCTTCCTAATGCCACGATCCCTTAATACAGTTCCTCATGTTGTGGGGACCCCAACCATAACAATAGTTCATTGACCCAAACACCCACCCCAAAGCTCAACCTTCCTAATGCCACGATCCCTTAATACAGTTCCTCATGTTGTAGGGACCCCAACCATAACAATAGTTCATTGCCCCGAACACCCACCCCAAAGCTCAACCTTCCTAATGCCACGATCCCTTAATACAGTTCCTCATGTTGTGGGGACCCCAACCATAACAATAGTTCATTGACCCAAACACCCACCCCAAAGCTCAACCTTCCTAATGCCACGATCCCTTAATACAGTTCCTCATGTTGTGGGGACCCCAACCATAACAATAGTTCATTGCCCCGAACACCCACCCCAAAGCTCAACCTTCCTAATGCCACGATCCCTTAATACAGTTCCTCATGTTGTGGGGACCCCAACCATACAATTATTTTCATTGCCCCGAACACCCACCCAAACTAAAGCTCGAAGCCAGTGATTCTCCACCTTCTTAAGGTCCGTCTCCTTAATACAGTTCTTCAGGTTGTGGTGACTCCAACCATAACAATATTTCATTGCCCTGAACACCCACCCCAAAGCTCAACCTTCCTAATGCCACGATCCCGTAATACAGTTCCTCATGTTGTGGGGACCCCCAACCATAACAATATTTCATTGCCCCGAACACCCACCCACCCCAAAGCTCTAGGCTAGTGGTTCTCACCCTTCCTAATGCCACGATCCCATAATACAGTTCCTCATGTTGTGGTGACCCCCAACCGTGAAATTATTTTCGTTGCCCCGAACACCCACCCCAAAGCTCTAGGCCAGTGGTTCTCAACCTTCCTAATGCCACGATCCCTTAATACAGTTCCTCATGTTGTGGGGACCCCCAACAATACAATTACTTTCATTGCCCCGAACACCCACCCAACCTAAAGCTCGAGGCCAGTGGTTCTCAACCTTCTTGATACAGTTCCTCATATTGTGGTGACCCCAATCATAACAATATTTCATTGTCCTGAACACCCACCCAAAGCTCTAGGCCAGTGGTTCTCACCCTTCCTAATGCCACTATCCCTTAATACAGTTCCTCATGTTGTGGTGACCCCCAACCCAGGCCCGTAGCCAGGATTTTGATTCAGGGGGGGGGGGGCTGAGTCTGAGTGAAAGAGGTCTACCCTAGCAAACCTTTTGTATCGTTACCCCAATACCCCCATGCATATGGGATATATTGAGCATGGTGATCAGATCATGATATGAATAAACATAACAGTTTAAATAATGTACCAGTAAGGCCTTCTCACGGACCACCATGAGAATTTGGGGGGGGGGGGCTGAAGCCCCTCAAGCCCCTCCCCTGGCTACATGCCTGCCCCCAACCATAAAATTACTTTCATTGCCCTGAACACCCACCCACCCCAAAGCTCGAGGCCAGTGGTTCTCAACCTTCTTGATACAGTTCCTCATGTTGTGGTGAGCTGAGTTTGATTCGGAGGGAGGGGGGCTGAATCTGAGTTAAAGAGGGTCTACCCTAGCAAACCTTTTGTATCGTTACCCCAATACCCCCATGCATATGGGATATATTGAGCATGGTGATCAGATCATGATATGAATAAACATAACAGTTTAAATAATGTACCAGTAAGGCCTTCTCACGGACCACCATGAGAATTTCGGGGGGGGGGGCTGAAGCCCCTCAAGCCCCTCCCCTGGCTACATGCCTGCCCCCAACCATAAAATTATTTTTGTTGCCCTGAACACCCACCCAGCCCAAAGCTCTAGATGAGTGGCTCTCAACCTTCTTAAGGTCTGTCTCCTTAAAACAGTTCCTCATGTTGTGGTGATCCCCCCCCCAACCGTTAAATTATTTTTGTTGCCCTGAATGTCCACCCACCCCAAAGGTCTAGGCCAGTGGTTCTCAACCTTCCTAATGCTGTGATCCCCTAATACAGTTCCTCATGTTGTGGTGACCCCCAATCATAAAATTATTTTCGTTGCCCCGACCACACCCATCGCCCCGAACACCCACCCACCCCAAAGCCCTAGGCTAGTGGTTCTCAACCAGCCTAAGGCCCATCTCTGTAATACAGTGCCTCATGTTGTGGTGAGCCCCAACCGTAAAATTATTTTCTTTGCCCCGAACACCCACCCACCCCAAAGCCCTAGGCTAGTGGTTCTCAACCAGCCTAAGGCCCATCTCTGTAATACAGTGCCTCATGTTGTGGTGAGCCCCAACCGTAAAATTATTTTCTTTGCCCCAAACACCCATCCACCCACCCCAAAGCCCTAGGCTAGTGGTTCTCAACCAGCCTAAGACCCATCTCTTTACTACAGTTCCTCATGTTGTGGTGACCCTCAACCGTAAAATTCTTTTCGTTGCCCCAAACACCCACCCACCCCAAAGCCCTAGGCCAGTGGTTCTCAAACGTCTTAAGTCCTGTCTCCCTAATACAGTTCCTCATGTTGTGGTGACCCCCAACCATAAAATTCTTTTCGTTGCCCTGAACACCCACCCACCCCAAAGCCCTAGAGCAGTGGTTCTCAAACGTCTTAAGTCCTGTCCCCTTAATACAGTTCCTCATGTTGTGGTGACCCCCAACCATAAAATTATTTTCATTGCCCTGAGCACTCAATGGTTCTCAACCTTCTTAAGGCCCACCCCCTTCGTACAGTTCCTCATGTTGTGGAACCATAACCATAACATTATTTTCATTGCTACTCCCTAACTGTTTTGAATCCTAATGTAAATATCTAATGTGCAGGATGTATTTTCATTCACTGGACCAAATTTGGCACAAATACCCAAAACGCCCATATTTGAGTACTGGCGGGGTTGGGTTTTTCATTTGAGTTGTAGTTGCTGAGATTTATACTTCACCTACAATCAAAGAGCATTCCGAACCCCACCAACGATAGAATTGGACCAAACATCCCACAGATAACCTCCATGACCAACAGAAAATACTGTGTTTTCTGATGGTATTTGACGATCCCTCTGACACCTCCTCACAATCCCCCCCCCCCGGGGTCCCGACCCCCTGGTTGAGAAATGCAGGTCTATAGGATCCTTCTTTCTCTGCAGATCTCAGGGTCTTTTAATGTGAGTTTAAGGGCAGATTTTCTCTTTTTTTCCACCTCCTAAAAGAAAGAAAGAAAGCATGAACTCATCGCTTGGGCATTGTGTTGAGTGTGTGTCACTCTCAGACTTGGAAGTGAAGGGATTTTTCCAAAAGAATCACAGGATTGAAGATGAATTGATGTGATGTAAAAGAAGGGTGGCACTGTTTGGTGCCACCTGTATTTGTGTGGCCTCGCGTTTCCATGCAATGAAAGATGGGTTTATGTCATGCAAAGGAAGGCATTGATTTTCTTTAAGCTTGGGCCGCTTCTACACCAGGCATGGGCAAGCCAGTAGGCTGTTAGGAATTGTGGGAGTTGGAGTCCAAAACACCTGGAGGTCCCAAGTTTGCCCATGCCGGGTCTACTTTGTAGAATTAATGCCATAGCTCAGTGTTATGGCATCCTGGGTGTTTGACAAGGTCTGCTATGGCCTCGCCAAACCACACATTGCAGGATCCCGCACCATTAAGCCCTGATGGCTAATGTGATGCCTGCCATGGCCTCACCAAACTACAAATCCCAAGATTTCACTGCATTGAGCCCTGATGGCTAAAGTGATGCCTGCCATGGCCTCCCTGAACTAAAAATCCCATGATTTCATAGCTTTCAAAGTTATGTCTGCCAAGGCCTCACTGAACTACAAATCCCATGATCCCATAGCATTGCCCCCTGATAGCTAAAGTGATGCTTGCTAAGGCCTCACTGAACTACAAATCCCAGCATCCCATAGCATTGGTCCCTGATAGCTAAAGTGATGCTTGCTAAGGCCTCACTGAACTACAAATCCCAGGATCCCATAGCATTGGCCCCTGATAGCTAAAGTGATGCTTGCTAAGGCCTCACTGAACTACAAATCCCAGGATCCTATAGCATTGCCCCCTGATAGCTAAAGTGATGCTTGCTAAGGCCTTACTGAACTGCAGATCCCAGGATCCCATAGCATTAAACCCATAGCATTGAGCCCTGAGTCCCTTTGGGAGGGAGATGTCGGTCTATAAATAAAGTTGTTGTTGTTGTTGTTGTTACTATTATTATTATTATTATTATTATTATTATTATTAACAACATGATTGCTCTCATGGTCTCATCGAACTACATATCCCAAGATTTC